GAAGACCAGGAAATGATGGATACACGGATCGTGTTCAAATCAATAGGCACGCAATGACTCTAAATAATAATGATCACGCCACCAAACACACATTCAAACTAAAGGAACCAGCCTGTTTGGAAAATGTGAGAAGTAGAAGTACAGGTATTTGTGTTCAACATGTGAGAAGTAGAAAGTACAGGTATTTGTGTTCAAAATGTAAGAAGTAGAAAGTACAGGTATTTGTGTTCAACATGTAAGAAGTAGAAAGTACAGGTATTTGGGTTCAAAATGTAAAAACAGTATTTGTGTTCAAAATGTGAAAAAAATCGAGTACAGGTATTTGTGTTCAAAATGTAAGAAGTAGAAAGTACAGGTATTTGTGTTCAACATGTAAGAAGTAGAAAGTACAGGTATTTGTGCTCAAAATGTAAGAAGTAGAAAGTACAGGTATTTGTGTTCAAAATGTAAAAAGTAGAAAGTACAGGTATTTGTGTTCAAAATGTAAGAAGTAGAAAGTACAGGTATTTGTGTTCAAAATGTAAGAAGTAGAAAGTACAGGTATTTGTGTTCAAAATGTAAGAAGTAGAAAGTACAGGTATTTGTGTTCAACATGTAAGAAGTAGAAAGTACAGGTATTTGTGTTCAAAATGTAAGAAGTCAAAGTCAAACGTCGTCAGAAAAATAAGTAGTGGTGTAAAGTACTGATACCGGAAAAATGTACTTAACCCAGTAACGCAGTATTTGTACTCTACTACTAGGGAGAACAAATACTGCATGCCTCTGTCAGGTCTGAGAGGAAGTTTCTACCGTCTTTTCAGTGATTTCTACACGATGGTGGGCTGCAGATATCACATGTCGTCCGGCTATAGCGGCAACATGATCTCAGACGGTGGAAAGTCAGGATGTCTCATTTAGGGAACAATTGATCCAACAGTAAGTGTTGGATGGAAACCAGGCAGGTCTGACCACAGCAGGCCGTTAAAAGGTGCCATATGTCAAGACTTCATATGAATAATTTAGTATATCGCGGTACAAGACATGCTGATGCTAAGAGAAAGAACATACTGGTACCACAATATGAAAACAGCTTGATATTTAACAGTGTTTCCTGTGTTTCTTGTGCTTACTGCATTAATAAAGCGTATTTTAAGAGTTTATCAGAATTTCCTTCAATGAAAACATGAATCAAACTGATATTATCTTTAGAAACAGAATAATAATAACTGCGGATTCACTGATTGATTGTAAAGTAAAGAAAATGAGAGGAAAAAATATACGATAAAAGTGTTGAGCACTGATTCGTAGGATAAATGATGTTTAAAAAAAGGTTTGACATGGTTCTCACCCTAGGTTATAAACAGTGAAATGTAATTTAAGTGACCACATTTAATTTGGTATTGATTATTGGAAGTCTGTTGACCTGCAGACCAACAAATCAATGGTGAATAAGCCAATGTGTCCTCGGTGTCTTCAGAGAACAGGACCTCTGTCTGATCTCCATTAGAAACACACTGTTCCAGAACAAAGATGGAGGATAAACACATAAATAAAACTTGTTCTATGACTCAGTGAACTTTCAATAATCAGGTCGACTGCTGGAGAGAACATTATGTGATTTTAAAGAGAACAACTTTTCTTGCATTTCCCCTTAATTGCTGCTGTTGGCTGCAGAGCTACAATACATTAAGACTGAGGAAAACAACCACAGATTTATATCATGAGCAGAAAACTGTTACTCAATGAACATGAGCAAGAGAGGACTCTTTAAAGTAGAGACACTACATACTGATATACACCTGAACATCAGCAAGAGAGGACTCTTTAAAGTAGAGACACTACATACTGATATACACCTGAACATCAGCAGGAGAGGACTCTTTAAAGGAGAGGCACTACATACTGATATACACCTGAACATCAGCAGGAGAGGACTCTTTAAAGTAGAGACACTACATACTGATATACACTTGAACATCAGCAGGAGAGGACTCTTTAAAGTAGAGACACTACATACTGATATACACCTGAACATCAGCAGGAGAGGACTCTTTAAAGTAGAGACACTACATACTGATATACACCTGAACATCAGCAGGAGAGGACTCTTTAAAGTAGAGACACTACATACTGATATACACCTGAACATCAGCAGGAGAGGACTCTTTAAAGTAGAGACACTACATACTGATATACACCTGAACATCAGCAGGAGAGGACTCTTTAAAGTAGAGGCACTACATACTGATATGAACCTGAACAACAGCAGGAGAGGACTCTTTAAAGTAGAGACACTACATACTGATATACACCTGAACGTCAGCAGGAGAGGACTCTTTAAAGTAGAGACACTACATACTGACACTTTATGTCTCCATCTGATAATGTTTGTAGTCTCATTAAGCCACTTGTTAGCAACTGCTGATTTTATGACACTTAGAAGCTTCACAACATCAAAAGTGGTGACGTATTTATGTCGTAGAAACTAAATGTGAAGTTTGGCTAAGCTTGTGTTGCGCCAAAGTAACAGGAAGTGGTAAAGTGCTACATAATAATGTGGTTTTAGGCTCCATTTCATGCATTATTACCGTCTGCTGCAGACCATTGAAAACCTCGAGTCATATTGAAAGATGCCTCAGATGCCATCATATGTTCGTGTGTTTACTCTTAGAGCTTTTGTTTAAAATGCCAGAGCCTGTTTAACATGTAACTTGATGAGAAATCGCCTCGAGGCACAACGAGAAACACGGATTTCTACATCTGGAGTCCTTACAAACATCGTTGATTTGCTGAATACAACCAGGGTTCGTAAAAGCTTCACAAACGCTGTTTTTTTTGTCAGCCTACAATGACTGAAATGTAGGATTTCATGGAGGGGAGACAGCTGACAGTTTTCAACAACAGCAGCTATCAAATGAAAATGGAGAAATCAGCATTAGGACAGTTCATGTCTGCTACGCTTAGTCATGAAAAGGAACATTAGCTGTTCCTGGTGAGAGTCTGACAGTTGGACTTAAATACCGTCTGCTGGTAATAGACTCATTATGCACCTGCCTTTTCGATAATACCATTAAAATATAAGACTGTGATGGCTTTTTCTCCCAATAAAAACCGTTATATTATGCAATACCTTGGTGGAAAACACATGCATAGAACATACGGAGATCTGCCAGCATGAAATTAGACCCTTATCCATGCAAAACCAAACACAACACTGCAGAAGAAGTATAGTAAAATATAGCATAAAATAAAAATGTCTTACAGCATGTCTAAAGAAGCTTCAGGTACGACTGTAGTTTCCTATCTGAAGGTCATCACTGTGTAACCTTAGCAAATCATCTATAGTCTGCATCTGTAGCATGTATGTCTGTGCTAGGCTATGAGGATGTAAACATGAATGCATCTTCTAAATCTCTTTAGATACCGTCTATCATGAGGCATTGAGATTTATGACAAACCGTAAAACCCTTGAACGCACCATTGCTCCATATGCTCGGTTTGGAAGGTCTAACCCATTGGCATATTGTTATTTATAAGGCTATTCTTGATGTTCTTTCACATAATCTATAGATATATATCCTTTGGGGAAGTACAGGAACTAATGGCCTTTGCTCTGAGGACTTGTTTGTACTTATTGTCACTGAAATCTATGAGCTGGGCATACGTTGTATAGTTTTGCTGCTCCAATATGAGCTGAAACTCAGGGATCTGTTTCTCTTAACCTGTTAGACCCCAAGCCTGTTTTTCAGGTTTCAGGCTCGAAAATGACATGCCCAGAACAAATGACTATAACTTCACTTCTAAAAGGGTTAAATTAATAATCTTTTTTCTCAAAGCAAGGTTACATCTGTGAGATGGATGTAGACGTGTCAGAATCAATATAGATGTTTCTGTGTTAGAGTGAATTCAGATGGAACATGGTAAAAAAGTGTAAATTCTTACCTCCGCCTAAAAAAAACCCATTACTTATAGTGAAAACCACCCTTGAATGATGGGTTAGTAGCCTAAAAGCTTTAGGAATCCAAAGTATAACATATAATAAGTACCCTGTATCAAGATTGAGGCAAAACAAGTGAAAATTGACCTTTGTAAAGAGCTTCTCATGACCAAGAAGCAGGAAATTGTCTATCGATGCTATATATATATATATATATATGCCTATCATGGATCTCTGTTTTTGTATTGTGGTGTATCAGTGGTAATATATATATATTTAACATGTTCATACAAATGCTCAACTTTTTACTGTGATATCCTGTTTCAATAGTATCACTGTATCACTGTATCTTTGCTCTATGTTGCTGCCATAAACGCCTGCATTTTCCCAAGGGGATAAATAAACAAAATTAATAACAACATCATCTGAGACCCAAAGCATGCTCTGAACAGAGAATACGAACTGCTACCATCTAATGGATATTCAATAAAGTCAGCCTGAAGAATCCTTTGTGATCCAGTAGATACAGAGCTGAATCCAGATGCACGCTGAAGGCTCTTTGAGCAGCTTTTCTCTCACTGATCATGCTGTTAGGTTAAATGTTTGTTGTTTGTTTTTCATGTGTTGTTCAAGGTTCAAGGTTCAAGGTTCTTTATTGTCAATCTGACATAGCTACAGAGTAATGATGTAGTTGAAAATCTTATGTCACAGGCTTCTCCAACAATGCAACATAATAACATAATAACAATAAGAGCAAGAGCAATACAAAAAGAATAATAGTTATAAAATAAAGTGATGATGTGGAATAGTGCAGTACAAGTCTATATACAAGTTATTGGAATGATATATATATATATTAGGTATTAGATACATAATACTGAATAGCAGATGAATGTTTTGAAGTTGTTTCAACAGTCTTGTCTTGTGTCTTGATATGTGTCTGTTGATGTTACACATGGAGCTGCTGTGATGCAAGGAGTATTTCAGACTTGATCTGAGCATTAAAGTATTATCGTATCGTATATATATATGCCTATGATGAACAGGTCTCTGTTGTACTGTTGTGTATCCGTGGTAATCCTACCAGACTGTCCAGGTGGAGGTGTTCCTGACGGGACTCGGGGCAGGTACAGCAGAACCGTCAGAACTCCTGCTTTGCTGCCGCAACATGGCTCCATCGCTATGGGCTTTGGTACCGCCTACACACACACATAAAGACAAAGAAACACAGCATGAGTACACACACACTGGAAAAGGAAAGGTGGTTTGCTTCAACGTCCGGCACTCTTCCTTGGGTCTCGAATTGAACCAATGACCATCTGGTTTCTGCTACTGCATGTTGAGTGTTTGAAAGGAGCAGGATTCTCCAAAAGCAGCGAGCAGGTCGATTTTAGGGGGTACACACACACCACAAACACACACACACACACACACAACACACACACACAACAACACAACAAATCACACACACACACACACACCACACACACACACACACACACACATCACACACACACACACACACACACACACTACACACACACACACACACACACACACCCACACACACACACACACACACACACACACACACACACACACACACCACACACACACACACACACACACACACACACACACCACACACCACACACACACACCAAAGAAACAAACACAGCATGACTAACACACAGGAATGAAAATCAGAAAATACACATTTACAATTCTTAGATTGCAGCATGAAGTCAATCTTAATGGAATTAAAGAACATCAATCTTTTAACCTCATCCTGAAAGGTGCAACACATAAAAATATCTGTCCTTTAAGACAATTCCAGAGTAAACACTCCCGCTAAGTTTGTTTGCCCTGTTCTGCTTGAAAGCAAGTCCCTGCCTCCTGCAAACTGTTCAAACAAACGCTTCAACTTGTTCCATTTAGAATCTGTATGTTTGAATATGGATCTGAAGTTGGCGTGACGTTGAAGTCGTGCTGCTGTACTCGGCTGTAGTTCCTTTATAGCATAACGTTAGCATTTTGCTTCTGGACATTAGATTTATGATTAGAAAATTATAAAAGTAGGGAAGACATGTGGAGATTATCCGGCTGAACAAAACGTGCATTTATCAAACAGGCTCGTTTTCCACAGACCTTATTTCGAGATATTTTCAAAAATCCTATGGAGAAATCCTATTGCTTTTTTGTCGAGGGAACCAGCAGCTTACTTCCAGGTAAATACGTCATCCCTGCACCACTCTATTGGACTCCTATCATTACTTCCGGAACATAGTGACATCACTATGATCTTATTGGCTAGCGCTCCAACACATTGTACGTGATAGGCTAAGGGGCGGGACATCTCTAAGCGGTTGACCAATCACAACAGAGCCGGCCAGCTAAACCAAGAACACCCAATTATTTAATCTGTTATCAAAACATACTGATATAAATTATTACACACATTATTATATAATATATTACACAATTATCTCAACTGTTCTAAATTATTTATTTCATAAATAAATACTGTAACTCAAAATATATCTGTTAGATTAATTAAAAGCTGTCAATGGCTCCATTAGGCCTAATTTTCATGGAAGAACCCATTCAAATTTGAAGTGGGTCAAAAGGGTCTTTCCACAACATTTATTTAACTCTAATTAACATTGCGAGAAAAGCCATTTGATTTTTGGCAGAGGTCTCTGAGTGCCCCTCCAGTTATTAGCCAGTGTTTGAATTGAAATGTGTTTTTTACCTGAGTCACACAAATGTGGCTTTCTTGAAAAATTAATATTTACAACACAGCTTAACAGGTTTGTTAATTGCCACACTCTAAATTATAAAAATGAAGAAACTATCCCTATAGACACTGTAATATCCCCTCTGCCCATTGCCTCTGGGACTGATACTCTGAATATTGAATGTGTCTTTCTGTGGGTTTAATGATATTTAATATATTTAATGGCCGGGGTAGAGTTTCCTTACATCTGAAAACACAACACGAGGAGAGCCATTGAGCTATCGATTAGGTTTGACCCTTCAGACTCTCCGTACCACAGAGGTCACAGAGACTGACCCTGTCCACACACACACACACACACACACACACACACACACACACACACACACACACACACACACACACACACACACACACACACACACACACACACACACACACACACACACACACACACACACACACACACAGATTGTAAAGACACACTTAACCCTCTCTCTGATTAACCCTAACCCCCTAACCCTTACTTGGAAATGCATGTTACAAGAAATACATTAAAAGATTAAGATTATTTTTGCCATTTTTATACCTGGATTATCGCTGCAATTATGTTCATGCTCTAGTGAGTGTGTTTGCATTATAGATCCGCAGCGAATTGTTTTTTATACTGCCAATGATTTAACAGTCTTAAAGGGCCCATGTCATGGCCATTTCCACTGATCATAATTCCATTGTTGAGGTCTACTAAAATAGATTTATATTGTGCATTTCTCCAAACTCACATTGGTTTCTCATACAGCATCTCTGTAAACTACGTGTATTCACTGAATTTCCCTCTCTGCCTTTAACGGCTCGTTGGAGCTCCAATAGCTCCAGCCCCCACCCTCCCTGTGAGCACAGTGTGCTCTGATTGGTCGGGACGTTGTGAATCGCGCTGAGCTCCGTGGAGGTGTTGTTTCCTTGTTTAGGATACACAGCGAAACACAGCCAAACTCATCCTGAGCACACACAAAGTCACAGCCCAAGTAAAAACAATAAGTGTGACTTGATATTGAGTAAGAAAAAGGTTGATAAACGCTGTGAGAATGGGTCTGCAGAGAGAATGGGTCTGCAGAGAGAATGGGTCTGCAGAGAGAATGGGTCTGCAGAGAGAATGGGTCTGCAGAGAGAATTCCAACTGTCTGTTATCAGCCTGCAGCCAGGGAGGAGAAATCAGCTGAGCTGCCTGCTCCCTGCACACAGATGTGTGTGTGAGGAAGTCCGTGGATTGGTCAATTTGGACCAATCAGCGGGGGCTTAACGTAACGGCTACGCGGACGTAACGTAACAGCTCCACGGATTGGTCCATTTCGTTCCGGGTATGGCTTGACATCATGCCGTACCCGGAACGAAATGGAAGAATCAAATGGGCAATGACGTATCTCCAACGAGGCGTTTTGGGGAGGTCTTTTCTGTGTTAGAGTTTTACTCGCTACAGGGTGTACTTTGAGGGGTTGTGACTCTGCACACCGTTTACATGCATAAAAACCTTCATAACACACAAGGGGACGGGTAATAACCGGAAAAGCATGACATGGGCCCTTTAAGTCTGGCTTTTAATTGAATGGTATTTATTCTTATTTTATTCCTTTGTATTAAAAATGTAAAAATGGTATTCTTATTTTTGTAATTTTTATCCCTTTTTATTCAAATGTTTTCCTTATTTTATTGTTACTTTGTTCGTGTTTTATTCATTTCCTGTGTTTATGGACATCAGTTGGAAATTAATCAAATGTATTTAATCAAGTTATTACTCTAATTACCTGGATTGGTTGGTGAAGCAACTAAAGATAAGATAAGATGTATTTTATTCATCCGAGTTTGGGATCAAGGCATTGCACATAATAACACATTCAAAGAGTAGAAATAAACAATTCTAAAATATATATATCTCAAAATAGAACCAGCAATAGAGAGTACGAAAAATATACAGATGACCATGAAGATACAAAATCTATAAACTGTCTGACAAATAAAAACACTTCTTACTTTTTGTGTTAGAAAACTGCTTTATAAATATAGTTTGTTTTGATGATTTGATTATATATTATTATACGGTTAAAGACTATTGTGAGTAATAGTTGATCATAAAAGGTGCTATATACATAAATCAATTATTAATGTGAGGTTTGCTCAGATGAAGGCTTAGTTTTCTAATTGTAAAGATTTTTCATTTCTTCTGGATTACCATCTGCTTTTTATTGTTTTTTGGGGAATAGGGAACAAGCTGAACGTAAAAACACGGAGTTATTCCAGAACAACAGTAACGTGTTGTGGTGAAACAGCATCAACATGAAGCCCGTCACTGTGGGGAAACCACCATCTGTCCTCCATTATTGTAAATAAAAGGTTTCAAAACAACACAATGGCTGTCCAAATATTTAATGACTCAGTCCCAATGGTGACCTTCAATTGTGGGAACCAACTCAGGCTCCAGCGTTTTCATAAATAACTAAGCTGTGTGTTTAGCGTGTATACAGTGTAATTATAGAACACATCTACACAAAAGGCTGCTGTCAGAGTAGCTATCAACTTCACACAAACTGTGACGTCTGGATACAAACACAGAGGACACACACACACGCACACGCACACACACACACACACACACACACACACACACACACACACACACACACACGCGTAAACATCTCCCCCGGTGTTAATAGGTTTAAGTGCTGGAGCGTACAGGATAATTAGAGGCGAGAGGCTCCTGTTTGTTTAGTGTTTTCAGAGTGTCAGGAAATGATGAATTCTCCACTAACTAAACACACACACACACACACACACACACACACACACACACACACACACACACACACACACACACACACACACACACACACACACACACACACACACACACACACACACACACACACACACACACACACACACACACACACACACACGACTGACTTCTTATTAGCTTTCTCCTGATTGAGAAAATGAGTAATTGTTTATGGGTTTTTTTCTCATTGAGAGAAGCGAGATAATAAAATCAGAGATGACGCAAAAATGAATAACAGGTGTCTGATTGTAGGACACACACATTTAGACGATGAAATGCTGTCAACACGGTTTCTAAAGTAACAGCACTTTAGTGTGTGTGTGTGTGTGTGTGTGTGTGTGTGTGGTTACAACCCACTAGTCCCTTTGATCTACCGTGCACACACTCACAGGCATGTTTACATTACATCATGTTTACGAGACACCGCTTCCTCCAGGAAATTAGCAGTTTTGTGTTAAAGGTCATTAAACTTCACACATAAGTAAAGAGTGAAGATACCTGCAGTGCAACCAGTCAAGGAACGGTCACATGACGCGTGGAAGTGTGTTGGGTTGAAAGTTAATGGGGCGGTCCTACTGGAGGAGCTGGTTAACTTTCAAATCTGTTTTACCCTTCATCTCCATTTGTCTTTC